TGGCCACCGGCCGGTGGCCAGTGATGGATCGTTTGGAGACTACAAATGGTTCACGTATCGCCAGGTGTTGGACAAGGCGCAGTGTATTGGATCTGGCATGTCCAAGATGGGCATCAAGCCGCAGGAGTGCATTGGCATCTTCTCACCTAACCGCATCGAATGGTCGTTTACTGAGCACGCAACGTACATGTACAACATTGTCAGCGTGCCCATGTATGACACCCTGGGTATTGAGGCTATCAAGCACATGGCCAATGAGACTGAGATGCGTCTTGTGTTTGTTGCTCCCGAGAAACTCGACACCATGCTTGGAATCTGGGACGACATCCCGACGGTCAGAACCCTATGCGTTTACGGACAAATCCCCGAGTCCGCTAAATCTGCAATCGATTCTCTGTCCGAGGATCGCAGTGTGCTCACGCTGACTGAGTTGGAGGCAGCTGGTAAGCAGGACGACCTTGCCCCTATGCCCGAGACACCTGCCGGACTTGATGACCCATGCACGATCTGCTATACTTCCGGTACCACTGGCTTGCCTAAGGGCGTGGTTCTGTCTCACATGAACTTCTTATCTGTTGTCGGCAGTTTCAAGGAGCGCATGCGTATTGGACAGGTGCTCAAGTTTGGTGCCGGCGACACGCACTTTTCTATTCTCCCCCTTGCCCATTGTCTGGAACGCGCAGTGCATGCTGCCATTTCCAGCGTCGGCTGCCGCATCGGATACGGCTGTGGTGATATCCGCAAGATCCTTGACGACATCAACGCCCTGAAACCCTCGATCATGGTCGGCGTGCCACGCATCTTCAACCGCATCCACGACCAAGTGTGGGCACAGGTCAAGGCCCGTGGCGGCTTTGCTAGCAAGCTGTTCAACCATGCCTATTCAACCAAGAAGGGCAACCTTTTTGTCGGGCACAAACACACATTGGCTCTGGGACCGCCTGGTTTTCAAGTCTGTGCGCGAGAAGTTTGGAGGCAATATCCGCTTAATCATCTCTGGCTCAGCGCCGATATCTCACGACGTCATGGATTTCTTGCGCATCGCCTTCTCCACCACAGTCTATGAAGGCTACGGCCTGACCGAAACCACTGGCCCATGTGGAATGACCGTGATCTCAGAAATGAGGGCTGGCAATGTCGGCTGCACATTTGGCAACTGCGCCTACAAGCTGGTCAGCGTGCCCGAGATGGAATACACAGTTGACGATATGCCGTACCCGGCGCGGGGAGATTTTGTGTCAAAGGACACAACGTCTTCACCCAGTACTACAAGCGCCCTGATCTCACAGCAGAGGCATTCGATGAGCACGGTTTCCTACGTACCGGTGATATCGGCCAGTTTGACGACCTGGGTAACCTCGTCATCGTCGACCGCAAGAAGAATATGTTCAAGCTGGCGCAGGGCGAATATGTTGCGCCTGAGCGCATCGAGAACGTTATCACTAACTGCCCACTAATTGACCAGGCATTCGTCTACGGGGACTCGCTGCAGAGCCAGCTTGTTGGTGTCATGGTTCCCAACGAAGAGTTCCTGCGTCGTGAGATCACTGAGTCCAAGGAGCTAGCGCATTTGGAGGGCAAGGACCTCAAGGATATATGCGCTGATAAGACCGCCAGCGACTACCTCTGCCGCGTCATCAACTCCTGGGGTCGCAAGAGCGACCTGAAGGGCTACGAGATCCCGAAAAAACATCCACCTCGAGTCTGTGCCATTCACTATTGAGAACAACCTGCTCACCCCTACCCTCAAGATCAAGCGTGCTGATGCCAAAAAACTCTACAAAGATATTCTTGACCGTCTCTACGCTGAGCTAACTAAGAACTAGATTTACATCAATCCCACAAAAATAATTGTTTTCGTTAGCCTGACAAAAGGAAACGCAAAAGTTAAGCTCTCCGACCGGGAATTGAACCCGGGTCTCCAATGTGACAGACTGGTGTACTCGCCACTATACTATCGGGGATACTCATATTGCTGGTGTTATGTCGGTGGCAGAGGAAGCAACGGAGTAGAACTCGGGGCTGGATGGACTACTTGCGGACGTGTCCGAGTCGGGTGAAAGAGCAGGAGGACGGAGTCGGGGATCTTGTCGGGTTCGGGTTGAAGTTCAAATAAATCGTATTTGAACTCAAAACAGGAGGAAACAGAATATACGAGTAGGGAACTCTAGTAGACACTGGATGAAGAATTGTCTTGGAGTCTTGTCGAGTCGAAGCATATATATGCTTCGGTGCACTAGTGTCTTGCTAGTGACGTTGCGTTGCATGAACGACGGGAATACCGGTCACTGGTCTTTGCGGCATAAAGGTACTGCATTGTTGTACCACGTGCGGACTTGGATCCGTGGGAGCCGGGTCAGGGGATATTGTGGGAGTTCGAGCCGAGTCATCATGTTCATGCTCGTCGGATTCGAGCATAACACTGGATCCTTGGAAATAAGAAATATATATAAGGGTTAGCATTTATGGCAAGCACTATTGATACCTGCACTTTGCACTGGTGCGCAGTTGGCAACGCCATGTCAGCCAACACACCGATCGTGCAATAAATGTATATTTGCTCTGTCAGTGGCGTATTTGAACATAGTCTTTGCCAGCGAAAATGTGATGTCAATTGACAAACATTCTAAATGGAAATCGACACGGAACAAATACACAGTGACCAAATAAAGGACAAAACCACTGTGCCCGACCAATACAAGCCACCTGTTTTACTTTGCCACCTGCTATATTGACCTGACATCATACTTTCCTTGCCTGTCTACAAAGGCTATCGGCAATGGTAAAAACAAATATAAAACACGATTTCCCCTCACATCCTTCAAGCAAAGCAAAACAGTTGCATACTTTTTACTTGCATCCACTCTTTGCATTTCCTTATCACACACCTCCTAGAAATCGTTACCAAGCATGCTGAAGATCCGTGTTGTACCTTCATTGATTGCTGCACTTGCGCTGCAGATGCTTGTCTCTGCAGAAGTGCTTTATCATGCCACTAAGACTGGCAAGGCTGGTCCCGCAGACGTCCCTAGGGTCATTTCTTATACCTCTAGCATCCACCTCATGGGAAACAAAGATGAAGTGATGCACTACATCCTGGCCAATGTTGCTTCAACTCAAGGGAAGGCTAGTGCCGGATACCAACCAAAGAATACTGATAGTCATAATGGTAATGATAGTAACAGTGACAGCGATAGTGATAGTGACAGCGATAGTGATAGTGACAGCGGTAGTGATAGTGACAGCGACAGTGACAGTGATAGTGATAATGAGGATGGTTTCTAAATCACGCCTCTTATATTTTCTAAATAGTTCTTTTTTGATATCTAAGCAAATATGAATACCAAAACATCATACTATGATTAGTAAGAGAAGTATATGCTTAATATATAATCGATTGATACTAATGAAGATTTATAGTGTTTATATGAGAACCAATGTGTTTTTACAATAGTTTACCTTAATGCCATATAGAAGCGATTGGTGATGTAACCTCAAATATTAATTGTGGTATTACTAGTAGGGGATAGATAGGTTTGGATTTCAAAGATAAAGAAAAATGAAAAAGTACTAATACTATGTGCTGGCCTTTTTTAAAGATTTCGCTGCTATGCACTATCTGATCTCATTAGTGAAACCAGGGGAGAAAGCTATGATTATAGTTGTTATATATCTCTACTAGATATATCTATTAGTTCAGCATAAGAGCTGCTCTCATTGTTAGTCAACCTAATAACTTCTATGGCATTATTATTAGTAATATTATTATTAGTAACATTATTATTACTATTTATTAACAAATATCGTTTTCAAGCAAGACCAGTGACTACTATGTCTTTCGTAACTGACCCAGACAGTACTGGAAATCGATCCGCTGACTGAGCTTCTCCTTATCCTCTTTTAAAAACTGCACGATCAGAAGTTGGTCGGCTGAATGGCTTTGAATCGGCGACTAAAGCGTCTGTGGTCCAGAGGTATGATTGCTCCCTGCCACGGAGTAGACCCGGGTTCGATTCCCGGCGGACGCACTTCCCTTTTGCCCCATTCTACAGTATTCTTTTTTGAATGGATTACTGATCATGGCTCTCATTTTGAACTTTTGTTCCAGCAAATAGTCTAATTTTTATTGGCTATATTAACCATGTTGACCTTCTGAGTAGCCATTCCCTTTCATATTTGCCGCACCTGAGATATTGCCATCGCTTACACCATTTACAATCCTGGAACTAGGGAATATGTAATGATTCTAGACATCCAAACAAATAGGTTTGCCTAGGTAGCACATATGCTGTAAATTTGTTCCGAGCATTAGTTGATATCTATTGGTGTATCATTTAACTCGATATTGAGATGAGCATGAATTCATTTTGCAAAGTGGAAGGCAGCGTTCGCATCTGGAGCACATATATGCTCCGACTAGAGACACAATCATTGGCGCCAGAAAACAGCACCCTGGCAAGATAGACAATAGTACTGCTAAAAATTAATATGCAGTCTTCAAAAATGTGGTAGCTACACAAGGGATTGCATTTACTTTTACTCGGCCCTTATATTTATAGTCGCAGGTAAGAATTGCAAGGTAAAATTAGCAGAGAAAAGGTATGAGCCAAGTCATGAAAATAGCTACCGTTTCATTATCGTTATCACTACTTTGCAAAAAGATAGAGTTGCGCTATGTCCATAGCCAGGGCAAACCCCTCGCCACATCGTCCTCGAGCAGTGGCAAAAAGTAGCTGATCAGAGTGGGATTCGAACCCACGCCTCCGGGGAGACTGCGGCCTAAACGCAGCGCCTTAGACCGCTCGGCCATCTGACCTCTCAGCTTTCGAGAAAAGCAATAAATATCGTACTCATCTATATGAATTTATATTACAATATTTTTCTTGTTTCTATATTGGACTTACTGGAGTATACTTCTAGAGAACCAGCGCACATCTTAGCGCTACCCGCCCACAAGCCTCTTTTCTAAAGCAGAAACGACAGCGCCGATCACACTCTCAGCCTAAGCCATAAACGATACAAACATAAAAAAAAAAGCCCTCCATCCGATTGCCTATCAGCTCATAGCTAGTCTGCAGCTATTTACTAAGTCGACAAGACAGCAAAAATAGTGTAGGCGTCACAGCTGAGCTCGCATTGCGAGTGCGGAACAACTGGTGGATTCAAGTAAACTATATTCAGTGCATCTGCAGCAACGGTATGCTACTTGGTGGTCGAGAGCTCCTTGTACAGATCGCCGATGATGTCCTTAAAGTACGACAATGCATCACGTCGCTTGAGCTTGAATGTTGGCGTAATCAGCCCGATGTCTTCGAATGGTGTGGACAGCAGGTATATGCTCTTTGCAATTTCGAATCCCTTGAGGTCATGGGCCTTACCCCACGCGGCCAGCTCAGCTGTGACCTCTCTGCGCACCTTGGTGTCACGGCAAATATCCTTGAGCGGCAAGTTCGACTTGGGTGGCAAAATGTTCTTGCTCTTTAAGAACATGGGCAGGAACTCTTCGTCCGGGACAATAATTGCAACCAGTGCATTCTGCAGCGGGTCGCCGTAGATATAAGCCTGGTTTACAATAAAGTGATCCATATAAATGTTCTCGATGCGCTCGGGTGCAATGTACTCGCCTTGCGCCAGCTTGAACAAATTCTTCATGCGATCGATGATATGCAGCCGGCCGTACTTGTCGAACATGCCAATGTCGCCTGTGTTTACCCATTCGTCGCCACGTTCCAACAGCACCATGTTGCTGTTTTCCTTGTAATACTTCTTGGCAACCGAGGTGCCCGAGATAAGGATCTGGCCACGCGGAAATGGCTTATCGTCGACGGTGTAGCCGAGCTCAGGTGCGCTGCGTAGCTTGATCATGGTGCTAGGCAAAGGTCCACCGACATTTCCGGGCTCCACATCGTCGCACTTGGTTAGGGTTGCTGGGCCCATGGTTTCTGTGAGGCCGTATCCTTCAACAACATTGCATGAGAAGCAGCAGCGCAAAAACTCGAGCGTCTCGGGCGAAATAGGAGCCGACCCCGATACAATCAGATTGAGGCGGCCGCCAAATTTTTCGCGCAGCGGTTTGAATATCACGCGGTCCCACAGCCAGTGGTTGACTTGACCGTGCTTTAGGTTGCCCTTCTTGGTCGTCAGTGCATACTGGAACAGTGCTGAGGGCAAACCGCCGCGTGTGCGCACTGCTGATAGAACCTTGTCCTGGATGCGGTTAAATATGCGAGGCACACCAACAAATATCGTTGGTCGCAGTTCCTGGATATCATCAATCAGCCTTAGAGTGTCGCCAGAAGCGAATGCCGTCTTGGTGCCACGCGAAAGCATGATGTGCAGCACCATGCGGCCGAGGCAGTGTGCTAGCGGTAGGAATCCCATCGAGCAGTCTTCAGGCGAGATATTGCATATATCGCCACATTTCTGGATCATTGAGGCTCCAGCGCATGATGCCAGCATGTTTCCGTGGGTGATAACGACGCCCTTTGGTGTACCCGAGGTGCCGCTCGTATATACAATCGTGGCGACATCGTCGGGGCCAGGGAGCCGCTCTGGATCGACAACTCCCTTTATGCCCGAATCCTCCACGTATCGGAACGGTCGGATACTGATTCCATGCTCCTCACCGAGCGCAACTACATCGTTGGTTAGCGTGTCGACCACAATCAGGTTCATAACCACCGGCACAAACTCAATCAAGCTCAGAATGTACCGCGCATTCTGGTTTGTGCAGACAATCGTCTTGAGCTCAGCCTCATTCACCATATGCTCGATAGCAGCCTGGCCAAGTGTTTCGTACAAGGGAACCGATACAAAGTTCTGATAGTAGCCAGCAAACTCGGCCAGCACCCATTCGACGCTGTTGTTCATGAATATACCGATGTTGTCGCCAGCGCGCATACCCAGGTGTACGAGACCAGAAGATAAATTGACGAATCGCTCATGGAATATGTCCCACGAGAGCCACCGATAGGGCCCAACGTTGCCCATACCATCGACGACTACGCGGTAGCCGAATACAGGTGCGTCGCGGCCAGCCAGGCGCCGCCCCTGCAGAAAGTTTTCGTACAGCGAGTTGATGCCCTTTGGTCGGGACACCAGCTTTCCGTCCTTCAAGTTGTTGTTGATACGCGGCTACAGGGCGGACATAGTTAGAAACGAGTGTCGTGTGGAGCTTGAATTCCAACAAGGCATGACGCTCACCTTGGTCTCATTGGGAAGGGCTGGCGCGCCTGGGAGCTCAATAGAACTAAGCATGGCTATATACACGCAGTATGAATAGAAGTGTTAATGAAAAAGTGTAGGAGAGGAGAAAGGGAATACGAAGAGTGGTTGGTGGTGGGGATAAGGGGCGGTTTTATAACCTGCGGTTTCCCACCGATTTTCGAGTCACAAGGTGCGTTATAAAAGTGCTCTTAAAGGGAGTGC